CTGTTCTAATTCCATACAAATTTTAGGATTGTTTAAAATTAAAAATAGATCTATCCTATGACCCAGGAATTGCACTCCTGGGTATTTTTCCCAAAGAAACAGATATAGTGAAAAGAAGGGCCATATGCACCCCAATGTTCATAGCAGTAATGTCCGCAATAGCCAAACTGTGGAAAGAGCTGAGATGCCCTTCAACAGATGAATGGATCAAGAAGATGTGGTCCATATATGCAATGGAATATTACTCAGCCATCAGAAAAGATGAATCCCCAACGTTTACATCCACATGGATGGGACTGGAGGAGATTATGCTAAGTGAAATAAGTCAAGCAGAGAAAGTCAATTATAATATGGTTTCACTTATTTGTGGAACTTAAGGACTAGCATGGAGGACATTAGGAGAAGGAAGGGAAAAAATGAAGGGAGGGAAATTGGAGGGAGAGATGAACCATGAGAGACTATGGACTCTGAGAAACAAACTGAGGGTTTTAGAGGGGAAGGGTGTGGGTGATGGGTTAGCCCAGTGATGGGTCTTAAGGAGGGCACATACTGCATAGAGCACTGGATGTTATACGAGAACAATGAATCATGATCACTACATCAAAATCTAAAGATGTAATGTATGGTGACTAACATAACATAATAAAATAAAATTAAAAAAAAAAGAATGATATAGTGTCTCTGTGGATCTCTTATGACAGTCTTTGGTTTAAATTCTATTTTGTCTGATATAAGAATTGCTACCCCAGCTTTCTTTTGAGCTCCATTGGCATGATAAATCATTCTCCATCCCTTTAGTGTCAGTCTGGAGGTGCCTTTAGGTTCAAAATGTGTGTCTTGTAGGCAGCATATGGATGGGTGCTGTCTTTGTATCCAATCTGCAACCCTGTGCCATTTAATGGGAGCATTTGGGCTGTTCACTTGAGAGTGATTATTGAAAGATATGAATTTATTGTCATCATGTTGCCTGTGAAGCCCTGGCTTCTATAGATTATCTCTGTAAATTTCTGTTCTATATCACTCTATATCACAACCCCCTCTTAATATTTTTTGCAGGGCTGGCTTAGTGGTCACATATTCTTTCATTTTCTGCCAGGCCTGGAAGCTCTGAATCTTTCCATCCATTCTAAATGAGAGCCTTGCTGGATAAAGTATTCTTGGCTGCATGTTCTTCTCATTTAGTACCCTGAATATGTCTTACCAGCCCTTTCTGGCTTGCCAGGTCTCTGTGGACAGATCTGATGTTATTCTGATGTTCCTCCCTCTGTACCTAAGAAATCACTCCCCCCCAGCTGCTCTCTGGAAGCTTTCTTGGTTCTGAGGTTTGCCAGGGTGCTGGGCTCCGTGGAAACTAATTTTTTGAGCTTTTGTTCTCTGGCAGCTTTCTGAGCCTATTCTGAGGGTCAGAACAAAAAAAATGGCTGTACCCAGACCACCTCTGTCCTAGAGCAGAGAAATCACAGTCTGCTCGTTCTGAACCCTCCAGAACACACAGTCTCCGTTTCTGTTAAGTGCCGCTGAAAACTGAAGCCTACCACAAGTGATGCGCGTCCACAGCGACCTTCTCAGCGGTTGATCCACAAACCCCACTTGTCTCTGCCCTGCAGGCAGTCCTGGGTTCACAAGCGTGCCCCCACAGCTCCTGGATCATGTTTGAATGCGGTTATAAAGCCATTCCTGGCATTACCGTTCTGTGAGTTATAGCCCCAACCCCTCGTGGTATGCTCTTGCACTCTGGTGTCATATCACTTTCCAGGGGCCAGCTTATGGCAGATCCCTCGCCCTTCTGCTTATCTTCTGATATCTGCCCACAGATTCATGATTCCTCCCTTCATACCTTGGGACAGGTGGTGTTTTTCTGCTTGTAGTGATCAAGATATATATTCTTACATCTCAGGTTGATTTTGTGGGTGTTCATGATGGTTTGGTAGATACCCAGCTAAATTGTAGGGGACCGGTTAAAATGTAGTCCCCTACTCCTCCACCATCTTGCCCCCCTCTCCTACTGTGGGTCTCTCTCTCTTACCTCACATGTCTCTCCTCTTAGTCCTGTTGCTGTGGGTCTCTATCCCTTACCTCTGTTCTGTGCCCTCTAGGTTCTTTTACTGGGGGTCTTTATCTCCTACTTGTCTTATGTCTCCTCCTGGATCTGTTACTTTGGGTCTCACTCTTACATGTGTTCTTTCTCCTGTAGGTTCTGTTACCTTGGGTCTGTGTCTCTTACTTGTTGTATGTCTCCTATAGATTCTGTTATTGTGGGTCTCTTTCTCCTACTTGTCTTCTGTCTCCTCTACATGCTTTAATGTGGGTCTTTATCTCTTACCTGTCTACTTCTACTCTAGGTTCAGTTACTGTGGGTCTTTACACTTATCTGTGTTCTGTCTCCTCCTGGTTCTGTTACTCTGGGTCTCTATCTCTCACCTCCCATCAGTCTCCTTCTGGTTCTGTTATTCTGGGTGTCTATCTCTCACCTCCCACCTGTCTCCTCCTGGTTCTGTTACTCTGAGTCTCTATCTCTCACTTCCCATCTGTCCCCTCCTGGTTCTGTTACTCTGGGTCTCTATCTCTGACCTGTGTTCTGTCTCCTCCTGGTTTTGTTACTTGGTTCTCTATCTCTCACCTCCCATCTGTCTCCTCCTGGTTTTGTTACTCTGGGTCTCTATCTCTCACCTCCCATCGTCTCCTCCTGGTTCTGTTACTCTGGGTCTCTATCTCTCACCTCCCTTCTGTCTCTTCCTGCTTCTGTTACTCTGGGTCTCTATCTCTCACCTCCCACCTGTCTCCTCCTGGTTCTGTTACTCTGGGTCTCTATGTCTTAGCTCTCATCCATCTTCTGGTGGTTTCTTGTGGTAGGACAATATTGGAGGGTCCCACATGGGAGCCTCAGGGCCTAGTGGTAGGTAGTTCTCAGAGAGCGGGCATTCTAGCCCGGAGGGTGATGGCATAGTTGTGCCAGTGCCTGGTGCTCCACAAGGAGGGCATGGGGTCCCCCTGTTGTGGGAGCTCTTGGCATTCCCATGTGGGGTGGGTGGGATGGAGGCTGATCATTGGTCCAGGGGATGGGACTGAGGGTAGCCCTGGGGCCGAGAGGAAGAGGGGACTGAGCAGGCTGCATGGTCCATTGGCAGATTGGCTTCTAGGTAGATGTGTAGGGTGAAGGGGATGGAGGGTGTGGAGTGACCTGAGGATGGTAGCCTGGAGCCCCTAGTGTCCCTGAGGGCTGGAATGTTGTCCTGGACACCTGCTTTCCGTCCCACAGCCATCCTAAACTGTGTCCCCCAAATTCATGTCTTAAATCCCTGACTGCAGGACCTCAATGTGACAGTATTTGGAGATGGGGTGTTTGGTGAGGTGATAAGGTAAAAGGAGGTCATTAATGCAATCCAGTATGGCTGGTCCTCAGTATGGCCTCTTCTCCTTGTAAGAGCAGATGATCAGGACTCAGGCACACACAGAGGGCTGGCCATGTGAGGACAGGGGCAGAGGTCCCAGGGGACACCCACCCTGCGAGGCCTGCCTCTCTCCCTGCTAGCTTCCAGGATTGTGAAAGCAGAAATACATGTGGTTGAAGTCCCTGGACTGTGGCCCCTTTGTCTGGCTGCCCATGCTAATACACACCCTACACATGCCTCTTGCTTCTGGCCACAGCCAGGGCTGGCAGCCCCTCCTGCACCCAGCCCCAGGTGACCCCTGGCCCTGCACTGTTTCTGGCTTCCTTCCTCACCCACTAGGAGCCCGCAGGCCCTGTGGGGTCCTGGTCCCCCACGGTGGGAGTGAGCCAATGCATGGCGTGGCCAGGCTGGGATTTCACTAGGTACATCAACAGAGGAAGACATTCCCCAGTGAATTATGGAACTTTTCAGGATAGTTTATTGTCATCGAAGAAAACGAGAAGAAACAGTAAAGGACAATATTGTGCTCCAGAAATTTCACAAGATACAAGCTACCCAAGCTACAACAGTGGGTTTCCTTTGAGTGATGGGTGTGCATTCTCTCCCGGGGGCACAGGGGCTCTGCTTCTCCTCCCCTGCCCAGCCGTCTCCCATGTAGGGGATCTGACCTGGCACTCGCTCAAAGACTGGTGGAGAACCAGGCCTAGGGGTCCACCTGTCTCAGGCCCCAATGCCCGGGGGCTCTCTCTGGTCATCTTGTCTCTGCCCCCAGCTCCCAGGAGCAAGCAGGCATTCCTGCCCAGCATGACTCGGGTCCTGGGCACAGGATGGTGCAGGCTGGGCCTGTTGTCCTGGCCTCTCGGCTCCCGTCCACCTTTGTCCACTGAGGCTGCTTCCCACCCACCTGGTCGCCAGGCCCCTCTGCAGGAAGCCAGTCTGATCACTCCTTCCCCAGATGGTGCCACCCTGCCCCTGGTGGGCTCCTGCAGTGGCCACAGGCCTGGGCCCTTCTCTGCGTGGTCTCCTCCCATGGAGAAGGTCTAACTGACCATTCGTGGCATGTCGGAAGCTTCTCTGTGGGGTGACAGAGGCCCGCGGCTTCCTCAGGATCTGAGACAACAAGCCTGCTCTGGGGATGTCCTGCCTTCTGGAGCCTGGCCTGGAAGGGGTTTGCACAGAGGCCAGGCCCTGCCCAGATAGACACTGGGATCATGAGCCCTCCACCTCCTCCAGGATGACCATGCACTCCGACCCTGGGGCTGTCCTGGTGAGGGCCATCTTGCCCTGATGCCTCAGTGTCCACACGGCCCCAGCAGTATCTTGGTGGCTGCTGAGGAGGGGTCAGCAGGTGTCCGTCAGCTCAGGTCGGGGGCATGGCCTGCTGTCATGTTGAGTCTCCAAACGGGGGTTCAGGGGCAAGATGCAGCCCACGGTGTCCACGAGCCCAGAGGGTGGAGGTGCAGGCCCAGGGTGGCTGTGAGGTCAGAGGGTGGCAAGGTGGGAGGGCAGAGAGCGGGCCTGGCAGCAAGCCGAGCGGCATGAACGGATTAACCCGGTTCCTATGTGGGGTCGAGGGCAGCCCTGGACACCCGCCCAAGAGGGCTGGCCCTAGGCCCCCTGCCCGATCATGTTCCTATAGTCGGGCACGATCGTGCGCTTCAGCTCCACCACCGAGGAGAAGATCCACTTCACCTGCAGCAGGCGGGCAAGGGAGTGAGCGTGGCCTGGAGTCTGAAGGACACCTCCCGCCAGGGCCTGCCCCCCACACCCGGGACCACTGTAGTGTGCGGGGGTCCTGGTGGGGATGGCATGTGGACAGCAAGGGGACAGCGAGGGGCCAGTGAGTAGTCAGTGAGGGGCCACAGAGGGGACACTGTGGGACAATGAGAAGACAGTATGGGACCATTGTGGCGACAGCATGGGGACAGTGGACCTTAGTGTGGGGACATCGTGGGTACAATTTGGAGACAGCTAGGGGACTGTGGGGACACAGTGGAGATAGCGAGGGGGTAGTGAGTAGTCAGTGAGCGGACAGTGTGGGGACACAGAGGGGCCCATGTGGGAATAGTATGGGGACCGTGTGGGGACAGCACAGGGACAGTGTGGGGAGAGTGTGTGGTCATTGTGGGGACAGCATGACCACTGTGAGGGGACAGCTCAGGGACAGAGGTGACAGTATGGGGACAGTGTGGAGACTGTGGGGACAGCATGGGGACAGTGTGGAGATAGTGTGTGGACAGTGTGGAGACAGCATGGGGATAGCGGGCCATAGTGTGGAGACAGTGTGAGGTCAGCATGGGGATATCATTGAGACACCATGGGGACAGTATGTGGAAAGCGAGGGGACAGCATGGGGGGCAGTGTGGGGCCAGCCGGGCATAGTGTGGGGACAGTGTGTTGTCAGTGTGGGGACAGCATGGAACAGGGTGGGAACAGTGTGGGCAAAGTTCTGGGTCAGCTTGGGGAGAGCATGGGGACAATGTGGGGACAGTGGGCCATAGTGTGGGTAGAGCATGAGTACAGCATGGGACAGTGTGGGGACAGCGAGGGGATAACATGGGGACAATGTGGGGAGAGAATGTGGACAGTGTACTGGGAGCATGGGAACAGTGTGGGGACAGTGATGAGACAGTGTGGGGACAGCGTGGGGACAGCATGGGGTCAGTGTGGGGACAGTGGGCCGTAGTGAGTTGATGGTGTGGGGACTGCATGAGGAAAGCTGGCTACAGTGAGGTGATGGTGTTTGGACAGTATGGCAACAACGTGAGGACAGCGTGGGGACAGCATGGGGTCAGTGTGGGGACAGTGTTGGGACAGTGGGCTGTAGCGAAGGGATGGTTGAGGACAGCGTGGGGACAATGTGGGGACAGCATGGGGACAGCGATGGGACAGTGTAGGGACACCATGGGGACAGTGTGGGGACACCATAGAGACAGCGGGCCGCAGTGAGGGTACGTGTGGGGATGCCCACCTTGAAGAGGGTCACAGTGGCGCTGTAGCACACGCTGAGCAGGAAGAGGGTGATGAAGATGGAGATGGTGGTCCACAGCCCGTCCAGCTCCCCATCCTGGTCCTCGGCACAGCTGTCGTCCAGGAGCAGCTCTGGACAGGAAGGGGGTGATCAGTGCCATGCCTGCCCATCGGGGTCATTCCCTGGGGGACAGTCACAGCCTTCTGCAACCTCAGGTGCCAGCCTCAGCACCCCCAGCTCTCCAGCTTGGGCCTGGCCAGGGGGACCCCTCCCTCTCTGTTCTGTCCTGTGCTGGAACCCTCATGGGGGAAGGCGCCCTGACCGACACACACCCTCTTCCCCTGGGGGCCAGGTCCAGAGGGTGGGAGGGTCAGCAGAGTCCAGGGAAGGGCTGGTCAGTGTCGGGGAGTGTCCTAGAATATGAGTGTGTGGGAGCGTCAGGACAAGCTGGGTGTGGGGGTTTCGTGGATATTGGGAGGGGGTGCAGGTGCCCTGGGGCTGAGGAGGGCTGCTTAGTGTGGTCAGTGTGTGGATGAGCTGCTGAGCAGCTGATGGGTGTTGGGGGGTGGTGGGGACCAGGCTGGTGTGCAGGGTGAGGGTCCCCAGACCCGCTCTGGTCTGGGCTCATGGAGGCTGTCCGGGTGAGGCCCATCATTTAAGGCCTGTGTGTGTATGTACACGTGTATGTACATGCATGTAACTGTGGGCACACACACGTGTGTATGCATGTATGTGCATATATAAGCATGTGTGTGAGTGTGAGTGTGAGTGTGTGAGAGAAGGTGGCACTGCTCAGCGGGACAGGCTTGTTTTCAGTGGGTCTGGACTCAGCCCCAAGTGGCATCTGGGATGGTCCCTCCCCTGGGCACCCAGGGCCACCTGCCTCTGCCCCTTTGGGGCATGGGGTGAGTGTCCTCAGGAGTGGACCGGCCTGGCCCCAGGCAGGATGAAGCCAGGCAAGGCCCCTGTATTTGAGGGAGGGCGGGGGCCTGTTCGTGGAGTGCCTGAGGGCAAAGGAGGGCCTGTCCCCACACATGGGTCAGGCATGGCTCTTGCGTGGGCACAGAGCTACCACGCAGAGTCTCAGGAGGCCCAGGGAGCCCAGGGCGGAGGACAGGCCAGTGTCCCACAACTTGGGCTGGTACAGAGGTGGGTAGGACTGTGTGCTCATTTCCCTGAGGGCTCTGGAGGGGCTTCTGCAATCCCTGTCCATACCCTCCAGCCCTGGGCAGCTTCTGACTGGAGGGATGGCCCAGAGTGGCTGCCACCTCTGGCAAAGTCCCCTCTCTTGCTCAGGCAACTCCTGCCCACATCCTGTGGCAGCCAGCGCAGACCTGCCCGCTAGGGGATGTGGCCCCCGTGGGACCTGCTCCCTCCCACCAATGGTGACCCCTTGGCCTTGGAGCCTGGCCTGTCTGTGCCGCCCAGAGGTCCGGGGGTCCTGAGCTCTGCCTCGGAAAGAACCATGACAGCATCGCAGGGTCCCAGGGCAGTGCTGGGTGCTTTATTTCATGCAGGGCTGCCTGCCTGGGAGGTATGTACACAGGGGTGGGGGCTCTGGCGTCTTTGTGGGACCCTGAGAGCCCATGGTGGGGGGCTTGCTGGGATCCCAGGCGTGTTGTTCATTTACCCGGAGACTGGGAGATGGATTTCTGTGTGTGGTGGTTGTGTAGAGCTTCATGCATGACTTCACACATGAAGACCTCTCCCCGCTGCCATTGGTTCTTGTCCACTGAGAGCTTGCTGTAGAGGAAGTAGGTCCCATCTGCATCCAGCTGGGGTGGGGTTGTTCGGATACTGCTTTCTGGCATCTGCTGGCCATTGCTCTGCCACTCGACATCAACCTCAGATGGGTAGAAGTCTTTGACCAGGCAGGTCACGCTGACTGTGTTCTTGTTCATCTCGTCCCGGGATGGGGCCAGGACGTACACATTGGGCTGATGGGCCTGCCCTGTGGGATCAGAGTCAGCACAGATGGTCACTCCCAGGGTGGAGGGCTAGACTAGGTTTGCAGGACCCTGCTTGACCCTCCCTGCGACCCTAACCCCTGCACCCCGCACCCTGCTGCACACCTCTGGCCTTGGAGATGGTCCTCTGGATGGGGGATGGGAGGGCTTTGCTGTTGACCTTGCACTTGAACTCCTTCCCCTTGAGCCAGTCCTGGTGCACGATGGGGAGGACACTGACCACACGGTAGGTGCTGTTGAACTGCTCCTCAGGCACCTTCGTCTTGGCTGTGTGCACCTCCTGGTCATCCACGAACCAGCTGATCTGGACCTCAGGTTCTTCCAGGTCCACCACCACGCATGTGACCTCGGGGGTTCGGGTAATGGAGAGGGTGTCCTTGGGTTTGGGGGGGAAGATGAAGACCAAAGGTCCTTCCTGCAAACAACAGCCTAGTAATGGACACAGAATGCAGGGGTCAGCATGTGGGTGGGCTTCCTCTTGAACATCCATTCCCCCCACCAGACTGTGGCTGGATGCTGGCCATCTGCTTGGGGTGGAGGGCAAGGTCCTGCTGACTCACCTGGACATTTGCAGGCACATTCTTTGGGCACTGCAGAGAGAGCAGAGTGGGCGTTACTGGGTGTCTGGAGTGGGCACAGGTTCGGGTGGGTGTAGGTGAGGGCCAGGTCTTGGGGGCTTCTCAGACCAGGGACTGGAGTGGGGGTAAGCCGCCTGTGCTCACAGTGGACCAGGCAGCAACACCCAGAGGACCCCCTTCCCGAATTGGGAGACCTTCATGTGGGGGAGACAGCAGGGCTTCCCCTGTGCCCTGGGGTCCAGGTGGGCCAGCTGACCTGGCCTGTCTCCCGGTGGACACCGTCTCTGAGGCCCGTCCTCTCACCTTTCTTGTCCACCTTGGTCTTACTGGCCGGGTGGGCCACAGTGCAGGTGAAGGTGTCACTGGGCCACCTGCTGGAGGGCACTGTCACCATGCTGCTGAGAGAGTAGAGCCCTGAGGACTGCAGGACGGACGGGAAGGTGTGCACACCACTGGTCAAGGAGCCGGAGTTCCAGGACACAGTCACAGGCTCGGGGAAGTAGCTGGACACCAGGCAGGCCAGGGCCACTGTGGAGCCAGATGTGGTCCCGCAGCTGGGGGCCAGTGGGAAAACCGATGGGGCCGTGGCGGAGGCTGCAAGAGAGGAGGCTGTGTGACCACCAGGCTCTCACCCCTTCAGGGCTGGGGCAGGACAGCAGGTGCCCAGGCTGGGGTGCCCCTGGGCCCAGTGCCCATGTGCTCCCTGGACATGCGCAGACCAGCTGCCTGGCTTAGCGCTCTGTGGCCACAGGTGCTGGACTCATGAGCTTGGTCAGTGATGGGTGACCACATGGGTCAGAGTCCCCTGGGACTCAGGCCTTGGGTCCCCACTCAGGCTTTCTCTGGGTGTGCAGCCTGACTGAGCCCTCTGTCTGAGCCCTGACCTGTGGCACCTGCTCCCAGCCGGCTCCTGCTAGTCCCCTGAGTCCACTGCCATGCTGTCCCAGCTTGATTGTGCCTTGGGCCAGCGGGAACGTCCACCCACTGCCCATGCCCCTCAGCCCAGAGCCCTCAACAAGGCCTGCCAACTGCCCTCCAGGCCCCACATATTCTGGGTCAGCTCTGCAGCCAAGCAGCCCCGGCCCCCGGCCCTGCCCCAAATGCACTGGACCCTCCTCAGGCCTTCCTGGCAAGGCTTCCTGAGCTCACTCAAGGCCCCTCCCAGCCCGTGCCCCTGGCCTTGGCCACCCCTGCTCTGGGGCCTGTCCAGCTCCTTGCTCTCCCCAGAGTCCTCCTTCAGCCCACGTCTTTCCTGAGCCTGTCTGCCCGTCAGCATGGTGGGGGGAGACATGCCCTGCCCTGGCTGTCCTCCCTGCATGGTGCCAGCACCTCAGGGCATCTCAGCCCCCCAAACCCAGACAGGCCTATCCCCTCCGACCCTGGTCCCCTCTGCTAAGGCTGAGGACCCTGTCTGGTGTCCCCTCCCACCCACACCCCAGGCTGGCAGCTCTGCCTCAAGCTCTGATGGGGCCCCTTGCTCTCTCCTCCACTGGGTCCACTGCCCCGTGCCTCCCCGCCTGGCTGAGGCATGTCCACCTCTTCTGTTCCTCGTCCCTATGAGCCTCCAGAACATGGCTCGCGCCCCGGACCAAAGACCTAGGCCCCCGCTCAGCCCCTCAAAGGTGGCCACCACTGACCCTTCCTCCTCAGAGACCTTCCCACCGAGGCTCTACTCTCCACCCTAACTTGTCCCCCTGGGCCAGCCCCTCACCCTGTACCCCATGTGCAGGGACGTCACCTGGGCCTGAGCCCTCAGCTGTATCTATAGGCTGCACCTGCTCAGCTTCCACCTAGTCCAGAGCTTCTTCGAGCTCAGTCCTGCCCTTCATCCCCGGAGCTCCTGGGGCTGCCCCTGCCCATCCTGCTCTCCACCTGCCCCTGCTCACCTTCACAAGCTCTGCCTGCTCCCCTGAGTCCCTGGGGCTGCCCCCTACTCATCCTGCTCTCCACCTGCCCCCGCTCACCTCCACAAGCTCTGTCTGCTCCCCTGATCCTCTGGGTCAGCCCCCCTCCCCTCCTGCTCTCCACCTGCCCCTGCTCACCTGCAGAAGCTAGGCCTGCTCCCCTGAGCCCCAGGCAGCCCCCTACTCCTCCTGCTCTCCCACCTGCCCCTGCTCACCTGCACCAGCTCTTCCTGCTCCCCTGAGCCCCTGGGGCAGCCCCCCTCCCCTTCTGCTCTCCACCTGCCCCTGCTCACCTGCAGAAGCTAGGCCGGCCTCCCTGAGCCTGGGGCAGCCCTCTGCTCTTCCTGCCCTCCCACCTGCCCCTGCTCACCTGCAGAAGCTCTGCCTGCTCCCCTGAGCCCCTGGGACAGACCCCCTCCCCTCCTGCTCTCCACCTGCCCCTGCTCACCTGCAAAAGCTAGGCCTGCTCCCCTGAGCCTGGGGCAGCCCCCTACTCCTCCTGCTCTCCCACCTGCCCCTGCTCACCTGCAGAAGCTCTGCCTGCTCCCCTGAGCCCCTGGGGCAGCCCCCCTCCCCTCCTGCTCTCCACCTGCCCCTGCTCACCTGCAGAAGCTAGGCCTACTCCCCTGAACCCGGGGCAGTCCCCTACTCCTCCTGCTCTCCCACTTGCCCCTGCTCACCTGTCCAAGCTCTCCCGGCTCCCCTCAGCTCCTGGCCTGGTGGTAGCTCCTTCCCATCTGGGATCCCTGTCCATTCACCTCCTCCCAGCTGCTACTCTACCTGCCCACCCTCCCCCCTGCCGCCGCCCCTCTTTATGGCCTCTCAGCCTTCTAGGCACTTGCCTGTGCAGATTGGAGACCTGGTCCTGCCAGCTCAGGCCCCAGCCCTCTCCACCCTTGGCCCCTGCCTCCCCTGTCCTTTAGCTCTCAGCACTGAGCAGTCAGAACCCACACCCCTGAGCTGCTGTAGGATTCCAGGCTTTGCCACCCTCCTGCCTCCTGCACTGGGAGCTCCTCAGCTCTAGGCCCTGGGTTCAGACCAGGGTTGCCTTGTCCTTCCCCTGACAGCTTATCAGAATCCGCCCTGCCCCACAGAAGCCCCTGCCCCTGCTGTTAACCCACTTGCCCCTGCTCACCTGCACAAGCTCTGTCTGCTCCCCTGAGCCCAGGTTTGGCCTCTGACCCTCATCCCCTGGACTCCTGTAGCATGTTGAGCTCCCTGATCAGCCTCCCTGCTGTCTGGGTCCTGAGCACATGGGAGCCGTACCAGCCCCGCCTGGTCTGCTCCACTCATCTGCTGCTCATCTGGTGCAGCCCAGGGCCTCATGGCCAACACCTCTGACCCTGCCCTGGGGCTTGAGCCGGCTCCCTTTGCCTGGACAGGACCCTCAGTCCACCTGGTGTCCTCCTCCTCCTCCCCTGTGCTGAGCCAGCTCCTTTCTGTGTCCTCACCTCAGACCCATCTGTCCATGTTGGCATTGGTCCTGCAGTGGCTCAAGCTGGTGCAGCCCCCGGCTCCCAGCACAGGTGGTGAAGGGCAGCCCTCAGGCTTCTGCCCACCATGCCCGTCATGGTCCTTGAAGGTCCCGGTCCTGGCCCCCCTCTGTCAGCGTCTGGTGCATTCAGCAGTGTTGGTGTGGGTGAGCCCCTCCCGTGCCTCCCTCGTCCCTGCCCTGGGTGGTGCCATGGACTTCAGGCAGCCTGCCTTCCCCCGTGCGGGCTCACCTGCTCCAGTCCCTCCATGGGGTCCTGAGGGCCTGGTGTTCCTCAGCTCCTGTAGCTGGTTCTGCTATCCCCACCTCAGTCCCTCATCTTTGCTCCATGCAGATCACACTCAGCATGGTTGGGGCTGTGGGAGCCGCTCCCCTGCAGCCATGCTCGCCCCTGCACCCCACCTCCTCCCTGCTGTGGCCCCAGGCACACGTGGCTCCTTGTGGCTGAGCTCTGTGCCCACAGCCTTGCTTCCTAGCCTCCAGGCAGCCCTGGGAAGACTAAGAACAGGATTGAAACCAAGAGGCTTGGCTTGCTTCCTGAAGTTCCCTTTTCTTCTGGGTGGTTTCTGTCTCAAACAGCCAGTGGGGGAGTCCGGACACAGCCAAGGGTGCCCCACGGGAGTCTGCGGGGGTGGGGTGTGGTGGGTGCCCAGGGGCCCAAGGGAGAGCACAGGAACCCCCCTCCACAGGATGCTCTTAGCTCTCTGCCTCCTGCAGGGATATGCTTGCTGCCTGCTCCCTGGCAGAGCAGTCTAAGCTGCTCTCAGCTGAGCCCTGTGGTGCCCCCAGCCCTGGTGGGCTCCTCCTTGTGCCCCAGTGAGCTTGCAGCGTGGGTGCAGACTGTCCCACCTGTAGCCTGCGGACCAGCCCTGGGCTTGCCCTGTCCACACAGCAGGATGGCCTCCCAGTAGAATCGTGTCCTCCTTTGGCTCCATCCATGCCTTGGCTCTAAATAATCTGACATCAAATCGCATGTTTGGAGGGCGGTGCATCTGAAGGGCGCTGTGTACTGAGTCCCCACACCCAGTGGAAACCATGTCAGCAACCTCAGAGGGTCTCGCCGTGAGCCCCGAAGCAGAGCTGGGCAGCCCTTGGGAGGGTCTGCCCTTGCCCCCGACTGCCTTCCCCTGGGAGCCTGTGTGGCTGGATCGACCCCCGCCCATCGGACGATCGTGAGCCATCGGCTCCCCCTGGCCTGTCCTGTGGCCCAATCCCGGGCTGTCCACACAGAATGAACAACCTTTTAGATTCTCTAGGATAAAGAAGGAGGGATTTCCTCGAGGACCGTCAGGACGCAGCCCGGGACCCAGGCCCGCAGCTGTTAGTAAGTCCTCTGGAGAAGACCACCTCACGCAGGCTCTGGGACCTGCTTCCCTCCTGCAAATGCCCCGAGACTGTCGATTGGCAGAGGCCGGAATCGGGAGACCTCATGTGGAGGAATGCAGGGAGGAGCCGCCTGATGGGCATGTTCGGACAGGAGGGTGTCCCTTCTGGTGACTCATTTGCAAGGCGGGTGCAAGGTGCACGCGTGGGGGCCGTACGTCAGGCTTCGGGGAAGGCCAAGCTGGTGGGCCGTCATGCTGCTGGAGAGGGAAATGTACCATGGCTTCCCCTCCACGTCAGGCTGCTGGGGTTTCCTCTCTTCAGGATTGCTGGGGGCAGAATCTGTATGGGCTCCGACACAGCACCTCTTTCAAGCAGTGACCATGAGCTTGGATCCCTGGATGCTCTCTCTTATGGAAAGGGAGTGTTTTGTGTGTGACGGTGCAGGAGGGCTCCCGCCCCAAGTCCCCGCACACCTGCACCTCTCAGGCCCGTTCCTAGGAGCCACCCGGGCAGTCAGCCCCTATGGGCACGTGTGGACCCCACTCTGGCCGGTGTGTGCCGAGTCAGGGGACCAGCTGCAGAAGGCTCCACGCTGCCCTATTGCCCTGCACTGCGTAGAAAGCACATTACAGTTGGGGGGGGTGAGGTGTTTCCGGGGCCGGGGGAGGGCGAGGAAGGAATGGGGGCGCAGAGGGGATCTTCTGTGGAAGGGAACTTAGTCTGTTGGCGATGAGATGGTGGAGCACGTGGACAGCATCCTCCAGAGCAGGGCAGACCGGGCAGCACCATGGACAGTGCCCCGCAGGCCTGGGGTTGGGCGGCATGGGATGCATTGGTCAGGCTCATAGACGGGGACACCATGGGTGGTGAGACCAACGTGAACTGTGGACTTTAGTTCACGGTGATCTGCTAATACTGGCTCATCGTTCTTAACAAACGTAGCACACGCATGCAAGCTATTCATAACACCATCTGGGCCCATGGAGGGGCTCTGGGATGTGTGCGAAGGCTCCTTTCTGCTCTCGTTATCTAGAAACCTAAACCAGTGTGCAAGAACACGGTCTTCCAGTCGTAAGAGAAGGAAGTCACGGGGATGACGGCACTGAGATGGTGTGGGGACGGCTGCTGCCTGCACTCCCCAAGGGGAGTGTGAGTCATGTGTAGACTTGTATAGCCTTGTGGAATTACCAGGAAGTCAGGTAAGAGGTCTGACGTGCACTCTGCTAAGATTAACGGGGCATATTCCATGGGTTAGGGTCTGTGCCCAGCG